TTTTTTTTGCTGCACAAGGCTCTCCATTTTAAACAAAAAGTGGGCTGTGGTTCAGGGGTGGTATTTTCTGGTTTTTATTTCTTTTGTGGGTTTATTTTTTCCATTTTGATAGGAAATATTTTCCAGTTTTAGGTGCTCAAAGCGGAATATTTATTGATCACCTGTTCGTTGGTCATAGCATGCCCATGCATTGTTTGAAAAAAAAGGTCATAAACAGTGTGCGCCTTTTCACATTACATCACTCAAAATCACTGCACCCCTCCCTCCCTCCCCTCCCCATTCCCATATAGATAAAAGTTAGGCATACACCAGTTTGCCCTGTTATCCCTTATTAAAACTGTCCTGTCCCTGGCAGCCATGGGTCGATAATTACTTGCCATCTAACTTTGACCAATCATTACTGGAACCCTAATCGTTTTTTGTGGAGCAAGTATATCTTTCCTGGTTGTTGGGGCACAGGGCATTGTCAGACCTGAGGGAGACTCTGAACACCTCCTTTCTTCTCCTCCCTGCTTTTTTTTCTTTCTTTTTTTTTCCTAGTTTCCTTCTCTTTTTATTCGCTCTACCTTCACTTTTACTCCTTGTTGTGCTTTTTTTTCTGCTATAAGGATCGTTATCAGTCACTCGGAGGGTACTTTGAAGCTTTCTGTGTACTTCACCTTCCCTGTACAACAGGGAATCTATGCATAACGCTTTACTCATAATGTGTTCTATGACATCAAGTTGTTATATCACCAAATGTTTTTCCCATATAATTTACAAAATATGTTTCTTATGACAACTGAGTGTATTGAATTGTAATTCAGTACATGCTTTGTTAATGTTTGTACACTGCTGTGAACAAGAAAACTGTCCTGCTCTCCTGCTGCTGACTAGTTTTACACTGCTGTATCCTCTGTAGTATCTTAATTCTTGTCTCTAGTAAATTTTGGCTTAGCCTTGCTCATTTAAATTGTGCTGCTGCGGGCCAATTTTAAACTGCTGTATCATATGTGGTCTCCTATATCTTGCATTAAACACCTGCCTGCACTCTGGGTACAATTTGGCCGATTCTCCCTCATTAAAGGTTATTTTGACTATAGTTCTCTTATGGATCACAGGATTGCAGTTCACTCAGCGCTCCTGTGACCCATTTTCAGCCAACAATGGGCTAAAGTCCACTGTCGGCTGACATCTCTCAGCTGATTCAGGCTCTGAAAAAATTCCAACCATATGGTTGGGATCCACCCAGAAGTCTGGACCGCCACCTGGCTCAGCCTCTCAGCAGTCCACCAAGTGCTTGAGCCAGCCTCTCCTGCCCCCTCCACAGCCCTGCACTCCAGTGAGTGCTGGAGGTGCAGAGCAGAGAGCCGGGAGACTGACAGTCATGACTGTCTGGTCAGAGTGGAGAACTGAGCAATCCATGGTCTTTGATCACTCAGTTTGGATCAATGCTGCATCCACATTACTGAGTATAAATGTTTTTTCTTAAAGTCCATACTTTTTTAAATGTCCTTCTGCTGACTTCTTTTACTTTTAACCGCCTCCCACCCACCATATAAGGAAATGACGGACGGGCAGTGGTTCTCTCATTCTGAGAGGACGTCATATGACATCCTCCCCCTCTAACAGGGGGCACTCAGCATGGTGATCGGCGGTGCGCTGTGTACCTGGGACACAGCGGATCACCGATCAGCATAAAGAGCCATTGACGTCTGCTCTGTCATGTGATCAGCTGTGTCCAATCACAGCTGATCGCATGTAAATAAGGAAATGCTGGTTATCGGCATTCCTCTCCTCACAAGCTGTTACGCAGAAACAAATGATAAAAATTTCATATGAGTACAGTGTTGCATGACCTCGCAATTGTCATTCAAAGTGCAACAGTGCTGAAAGCCCTGTCACACTTTGAATGACAATTGTGCGGTCATGCAACACTGTACCCATATGAATTTTTTAGCATTTTTTTTGAGACAGATAAAACTTTATTTTGGTGGTATTTATTCACCACTGGGATATTTATTGTTTTGCTATATAACTGAAAAAGTCCAAACATTTTGAAGAAAAAGTGTTTTTCTTATAAAATTATGCAAATAAAAAAATCTTTCTTCATAAATCTTGGCCAAAATGTATTCAGCTAACTTTTTAGTAAACTAAAAAAAACACCTAATTAGTTTAGAACCAAAAATTATAATATTTCAAAACTTTTTTTTACAATAATTTTTTTTTTTTATATTGTTTTTTGTTTTTTTTAACATACTGTCACCCTAGCAGTACAGTGTCACCATAGTGACACTGTACTACTTGTGGGGGTGATGAAGATTTTTTTTTTTTTAACACTGATTGCTTTTACACCCATAAAGGCTGTAAAAGCAATCATTTCTCCTTCTCTCTGGCTGCATTCTTGCAGCCATTGAGAAATACTGTACGAGCTGTGATTGGTCACAGCTTGTCACATGGTAGAAGGCTGTTGTGAATAGCCTTGTACCATGTGACCTCTGTAATCTTTCACAGATTTCACTGGTAGTAAGCAATTATGTCAAAAGTGACATCTTGCTTACTACTATTCATGTGATCACTGATTGGCCAATCAGTGATCACATGATCGGGACTGTACACAGAGGTCCCATACAGCGATCGGTGTTCCGCTGTGTCCTCCGGAGTTTATGAACTGCCACCTGCCCCTGCACTGCTCCCGTCCGGCCGTTTATGTACATGGGCCAAACGGGAAGTGGTTAAAGTGTAATTGGTGCAGGTACAGTGGGGATCGAAAGTTTGGGCACCCCAGCTAAAAATTTGTATTAATGTGCATAAAAAAAGCCAAGGAAAGATGGAAAAATCTCCAAAAGGCATCAAATTACAGATTAGACATTCTTATAATATGTCAACAAAAGTTAGATTTTATTTCCATCATTTACACTTTCAAAATAACAGAAAACAAAAAAATGGCGTCTGCAAAAGTTTGGGCACCCTGCAGAATTTATAGCATGCACTGCCCCCTTTGCCAAGCTGAGATTTGCCAGTGTCATGGATTGTTCTCAATCATCGTCTGGGAAGACCAGGTGATATCAATCTCAAAGGTTTTAAATGCCCAGACACATCTGACTTTGCCCCAACAATCAGCACCATGGGTTCTTCTAAGCAGTTGTCTAGAAAACTGAAACTGAAAATAGTTGACGCTCACAAAGCTGGAGAAGGCTATAAGAAGATAGCAAAGCGTTTTCAGATGTCAATATCCTCTGTTCGGAATGTAATTAAGAAATGGCAGTCATCAGGAACAGTGGAAGTTAAAGCAAGATCTGGAAGACCAAGAAAAATATCAGACAGAACAGCTCACAGGATTGTGAGAAAAACAATTTAAAACCCACGATCCCTCCAGAAAGATCTGGCAGACACTGGAGTTGTGGTACACTATTCCACTATAAAGAGATACTTGTACAAATATGGTCTTCATGGAAGAGTCATCAGAAGAAAACCTCTTCTACGTCCTCACCACAAAAATCATCGTTTGAACTTTGCAAATGAACATATAGACAAGCCTGATGCATTTTGGAAACCAGTTCTGTGGACCGATGAGGTTAAAATTGAACTTTTTGGCCAGAATGAGCAAAGGTACGTTTTGGAGAAGAAGAGACACAGAATTTATTGAAAAGAACCTCTGTCCAACTGTTAAGCATGGGGTTGGATCAATCATGCTTTGGGGTTGTGTTGCAGCCAGTGGCACAGGGAACATCTCACGAGTAGAAGGAAAAATGGATTCAATAAAATTTCAGCAAATTTTGGATGGTAACTTGATGCCATCTGTGAAAAAGCTGAAGTTAAAGAGAGGATGGCTTCTACAAATGGATAATGATCCTAAACACACCTCGAAATCCATCAAGAGGCGTAAACTGAAGGTTTTGCCATGGCCTTCACAATCCCCTGACCTCAACATAATTGAAAATCTATGGATAGACCTTAAAAGAGCAGTGCGTGACAGACAGCCCAGAAATCTCAAAGAACTGGAAGAGTTTTGTAAGGAAGAATGGGCAAAGATACCTCAAACAAGAATTGAAAGACTCTTGGCTGGCTACAAAAAGCGTTTACAAGCTGTGATACTTGCCAAAGGGGGGCAGTACAAGATATTAACTCTGCAGGGTGCCCAAACTTTTGCAGACGCCATTTTTTTGTTTTCTGTTATTTTGAAAGTGTAAATGATGGAAAAAAAAATCTAACTTTTGTTGTCATATTATAATAATGTCTAATCTGTAATTTGATACCTTTTGGAGATTTTTCCATCTTTCCTTGGCTTCTTTATGCACACTAATACAAATATTTAGCTGGGGTGCCCAAACTTTCGATCCCCACTGTACACATATTTTTTAGTTTTCTGTGCCTTCACGCTCCCTGTCATTTGTCATGGAGAATTTGAACTCTTCATAGAATTGAATAGACAATGTACAGTGCATGATACAGTGTGACAGTTTGCAGTCAGATCACTGTGAAAAATAAGACTGAGAAAATGCTTTCTTCTGCCTGCAGTAGACTAATGACATCATCTGAGCCTAGGCAAAGTCACTTACCTAGAGTTTAAAAATGGCTTTTTAATACAAAAACAGCACAGCATTTTTATTTTTTTCTGTGAAGTTACACCTTTGCTGTATATTGTGACATGCCAGGAATATATTCATGCAGGCTTTTAAAGTAAATGGAGGGTCCACTTTAACTGTTTCAAAAGGTTAACAAGGCAGCACTGGAATATCAATATAGCAACAGACAAAGTGCAGGTTCACTTTCAGGACTAAAAATGTATTTAATGATGCTATTGTTAACCATATCACAGCACGTAATGTTATATGAATCTTCTTTAACTGTTTGTCTCTGGTTGCATTGTGCTTATTCACTTCAGATGAGTGTTTTCATGGTAAGAATTAATTCCATGATTTACTGCTTGTAGCATCAGGGCTTTAAAATGGTATGAGCTATTTGGTGTGCCTTTTTTCTCATTCTCATTCTCGTTCTCATTCACTTTGTCTTTGCAGATCAAAGAGTTAGAGGATGGTTTATGCTGGATTCCTGTCTTCCCACTCTTACACTGACTATCCTTTATGTTCTATCCGTATGGTTGGGGACCAAATATATGAAGAATAGACCAGCCTTTTCTCTCAGGGGCCACCTAATTGTTTACAATCTTGCAGTTACTTTGCTCTCCTTGTATATGTTAATAGAGGTGAGTTTTTTTTTTTTTTTTTTTATAAATTTGATTTGATATTGCCACTAATCAAAATGTTCATATCAATGACTAGATTGCTAGTGTGATGATAACAAGGTAGATATCTGCTGACATCCACATAATGCTGGACCCCCATGGTTATTTTGCAGCCATTTGCAAATTTGCCATCAAGCAGGGAAATTATATGTGGCAATCTCTTAAATGTTTGTTTCCAGGTTACTTTATTTATTTGCAATATGATTTAATTTTTTTACCTGTCCAGAACAGAATTGATACAAAAATGTTCCACAGAATGCAAAAATAAATTCTACAGTTTAGGAAGAAATTGGAGAAGAGTGAAAAGACACACAAGATCATGAAAAGGAATGAGGGAAGGCTTGAAGAGGTCTCTAGATGTTAGTTGGGAGTCTTCCAACCCTGAACTGGGCAACAGTTTAATGTCTATGGACTACCCAAAGATGTAGCCATACAACGCTGTACTAAGAGTTTAGCACTCAGCATAGAAAATCTTTTCCACTTACCATTGTTTTTGTCTGGGTAAGGCAGCCTCGAAGTTGACTGCAGTGTAACCTCTTCCTCCTCTATTTCCTAAACACATCTAGTTCTCCATTTGTATAGTGAACCAGGCCTAAGAATGTTCACACTCTGATGCCTGTGGTCAAATTTAGTATTCCGAAAGGTAGAGTCACTATGTTGAGTCTGAATATATCTGATGGTAAAAACATAGGGTCTAATAGAATGTAAGGCCATAGTGGCCAAAAACAAAAGCTAAGGAGAAGGAACAGTGTTGTTTACCAGCTTTTTTCAGGGTGGCTTATGCGGATTTGGGGTTGGGGGATAGTATAACTTCGGCATCACTGTGTCTAAAGTTGACACTTGCTTTGTTGATAGGGAACGCACAAACTATAGTGGTGGTAGACAATGTTGGATTTATAAGGGGGCTAAAGGAGCAGCTGCCCCTGCCCCTGGCCTCCCAGCCAGAGGGGGCTCCAGTGGTCTTTTATAAAAAAAAAAAAATGTAAGCATGACCCACATAGAAGAAAAATATATTTGAAATTTTTTTTAAAAAAAATAGTCTTCCCAAATATATTGACACATATTTGATATGCTACAATTTTGGCCATATTCAATTTATTTCAAAATATATTTCAATAAATATATATCTCCATCAAAATCAATAACACAATCATCAGTCCCTCCCCTCATGCCAGGGTGCTAGGAGTAACCCTAGACTCCCATCTGTCCTTTCAGCCCCAAATCCAATCGCTGTCCAAATCTTGTAGACTTCACCTCCACAACATCTCCAAGATACGGCCGTTCTTAACCTCGGAAACCACTAAGCAACTTATTCATTCCCTTGTTATATCTCGCCTTGACTATTGTACCTCCCTCTTTATTGGACTACCGAATCGCAGGCTATCCCCTCTTCAGTCTATCATGAATGCTGCTGCCAGACTCATCCACTTCACTAACCGTTCTGTATCAGCCACCCCTCTCTGCCAATCCCTCCACTGGCTTCCCATTGCCCAACAGATAAAATTCAAAACATTAATAATAACATATACAGTGGGGATCGAAAGTTTGGGCACCCCAGCTAAAAATTTGTATTAATGTGCATAAAGAAGCCAAGGAAAGATGGAAAAATCTCCAAAAGGCATCAAATTACAGATTAGACATTCTTATAATATGTCAACAAAAGTTAGATTTTATTTCCATCATTTACACTTTCAAAATAACAGAAAACAAAAAAATGTCGTCTGCAAAAGTTTGGGTACCCTGCAGAGTTAATATCTTGTACTGCCCCCTTTGGCAAGTATCACAGCTTGTAAACGCTTTTTGTAGGCAGCCAAGAGTCTTTCAATTCTTGTTTGAGGTATCTTTGCCCATTCTTCCTTACTAAAGTCTTCTAGTTCTTTGAGATTTCTGGGCTGTCTGTCATGCACTGCTCTTTTAAGGTCTATCCATAGATTTTCAATTATGTTGAGGTCAGGAGATTGTGAAGGCCATGGCAAAACCTTCAGTTTACGCCTCTTGATGGATTTCGAGGTGTGTTTAGGATCATTATCCATTTGTAGAAGCCATCCTCTCTTTAACTTCAGCTTTTTCACAGATGGCATCAAGTTACCATCCAAAATTTGCTGAAATTTTATTGAATCCATTTTTCCTTCTACTCGTGAGATTTTCCCTGTGCCACTGGCTGCAACACAACCCCAAAGCATGATTGATCCAACCCCATGCTTAACAGTTGAACAGAGGTTCTTTTCATTAAATTCTGTGCCCCTTCTTCTCCAAACGTACCTTTGCTCATTCTGGCCAAAAAGTTCAATTTTAGCCTCATCGGTCCACAGAAGTTGTTTCCAAAATGCATCAGGCTTATCTATATGTTCATTTGCAAAGTTCAAACGATGATTTTTGTGGTGAGGACGTAGAAGAGGTTTTCTTCTGATGACTCTTCCATGAAGACCATATTTGTACAAGTATCTCCTTATAGTGGAATAGTGTACCACAACTCCAGTGTCTGCCAGATCTTTCTGGAGGGATCGTGCAGTCAAACGTGGGTTTTGAATTGTTTTTCTCACAATCCTGCGAGCTGTTCTGTCTGATATTTTTCTTGGTCTTCCAGATCTTGCTTTAACTTCCACTGTTCCTGATGACTGCCATTTCTTAATTACATTCCGAACAGAGGATATTGACATCTGAAAACGCTTTGCTATCTTCTTATAGCCTTCTCCAGCTTTGTGAGCGTCAACTATTTTCAGTTTCAGTTTTCTAGACAACTGCTTAGAAGAACCCATGGTGCTGATTGTTGGGGCAAGGTCAGATGAGTCTGGGCATTTAAAACCTTTGAGATTGACATCACCTGGTCTTCCCAGACAATGACTGAGAACAATCCATGACACTGGCAGGTCTCAGCTTGGCAAAGGGGGCAGTGCATGCTATAAATTCTGCAGGGTGCCCAAACTTTTGCAGACGCCATTTTTTTGTTTTCTGTTATTTTGAAAGTGTAAATGTGGAAATAAATGATGGAAATAAAATCTAACTTTTGTTGACATATTATAAGAATTTTTAGCTGGGGTGCCCAAACTTTCGATCCCCACTGTAAAGCCATTTATAACTCTGCCCCAAATTACATCACCAATCTTGTCTCCAAATATCACCCAAACCGTACTCTCCGCTCCTCACAAGACCTCCTACTCTCTAGCTCCTTGTCTCCTCCTCCCATGCTCATCTCCAGGACTTCTCCATAGCTTCCCACATCCTCTGGAATCTCTACCCCAATTTATCAGACTATCGCCTACTCTGCTCACTTTTAGGCGATCTCTGAAAACCTATCTCTTCAGGGAAGCCTATCCTGCACTCAGCTAATAATGGAATCTTCTGCTCAGGGGCGGACTGACCATTTAGGCACTCGGGCACTGCCAAGGGCCCGGGTTCAGTAGGGGGCCCCATGAGATGCCCTTGATACCTTTCATAGGCTTTTTTGGGTGTGGTTTGAGTGTGGGCAAGAACACAGGGGCCCCATATTTCCTATTGCCCGGGGGCCCCATGAGTTGTCAGTCCACCCCTGCTTCTACTCCTCCTACCAGTCCATCCCTCACAGTTACTACCTTTTGTACCACTAACCCCTCCCTCCTAGATTGTAAGCTGCAAGGAGCAGGGCCCTCCTATCCCTCTTGTATTGAACTGTATTGTTGCTGTACTGTCTCCATTTATTTGTAAAGCGCTGAGCAAACTGTTGGTGCTATATAAATCCTGTATAATAATAATAATATATATATATATATATATATATATATATATATATACAGTGGGGATCGAAAGTTTGGGCACCCCAGCTAAAAATTTGTATTAATGTGCATAAAGAAGCCAAGGAAAGATGGAAAAATCTCCAAAAGGCATCAAATTACAGATTAGACATTCTTATAATATGTCTACAAAAGTTAGATTTTATTTCCATCATTTACACTTTCAAAATAACAGAAAACAAAAAAAATGGCGTCTGCAAAAGTTTGGGCATCCTGCAGAGTTAATATCTTGTACTGCCCCCTTTGGCAAGTATCACAGCTTGTAAACCCTTTTTGTAGCCAGCCAAGAGTCTTTCGATTCTTGTTTGAGGTATCTTTGCCCATTCTTCCTTACAAAAGTCTTCCAGTTCTTTGAGATTTCTGGGCTGTCTGTCACGCACTGCTCTTTTAAGGTCTATCCATAGATTTTCAATTATGTTGAGGTCAGGAGATTGTGAAGGCCATGGCAAAACCTTCAGTTTACGCCTCTTGATGTAATCCCCTGTGGATTTCGAGGTGTGTTTAGATCATTATCCATTTGTAGAAGTCATCCTCTCTTTAACTTCAGCTTTTTCACAGATGGCATCAAGTTACCATCCAAAATTTGCTGAAATTTTTATTGAATCCATTTTTTCCTTCTACTCGTGAGATGTTCCCTGTGCCACTGGCTGCAACACAACCCCAAAGCATGATTGATCCAACCCCATGCTTAACAGTTGGACAGAGGTTCTTTTCAATAAATTCTGTGTCTCTTCTTCTCCAAAACGTACCTTTGCTCATTCTGGCCAAAAAGTTCAATTTTAACCTCATCGGTCCACAGAACTGGTTTCCAAAATGCATCAGGCTTGTCTATATGTTCATTTGCAAAGTTCAAACGATGATTTTTGTGGTGAGGACGTAGAAGAGGTTTTCCCATCCTGATGACTCTTCCATGAAGACCATATTTGTACAAGTATCTCTTTATAGTGGAATAGTGTACCACAGCTCCAGTGTCTGCCAGATCTTTCTGGAGGGATCGTGCAGTCCAAACGTGGGTTTTGAATTGTTTTTCTCACAATCCAGCAAGCTGTTCTGTCCGATATTTTTCTTGGTCTTCCAGATCTTGCTTTAACTTCCACTGTCCTGATGACTGCCATTTCTTAATTACATTCCGAACAGAGGATATTGACATCTGAAAACGCTTTGCTAAACTTCTTATAGCCTTCTCCAGCT